CGCTACTAGGGGCTCCTGGCCTTACTACCAGGAACAAGGACGCTACTAGGAGCAAAGGGCATCGCTACTAGGAGCAAGGACGCTACTAGGGGCTCCTGGCCTTACTACTCGGAGCAAGGACGCTACTAGGAGCCAAGGGCATCGCTACTAGGAGCAAGGACGCTACTAGGGGCTCCTGGCCTTCCTACTAGGAACAAGGACGCTACTAGGAGCAAAGGGCATCGCTACTAGGAGCAAGGACGCTACTAGGGGCTCCTGGCCTTACTACTAGGAACAAGGACGCTATACTAGGGGCTCCTGGCCTTACGACTAGGAACAAGGACGCTACTAGGGGCAAAGGGCATCGCTACTAGGAGCAAGGACGCTACTAGGGGCTCCTGGCCTTATGACTAGGAACAAGGATGCTACTAGGAGCAAAGGGCATCGTTACTAGGAGCAAGGACGCTACTAGGGGCTCCTGGCCTTACTACTAGGAACAAGGACGCTACTAGGGGCTCCTGGCCTTACGACTAGGAACAAGGACGCTACTGGGAGCAAAGAGCATCGCTACTAATACAAAAAAAACTAGGGGCCCCTGGCCTTACTACTAGGAACAAGGACGCTACTAGGAGCAAAGGGCATCGCTACTAAGAGCAAGGATCAGACTTTGGTTTGGGAGTCGGCCTGTTTCGTTTCCGCAAAAGGCCATGACATCATGTCTCATTGGATGGCAACGGCATGAGTCAGAAATCGCCTCGGATCCACGGCACACGGCACGTCTCCAACCCAAAGGCGTGGAGCCATCCTTCCGACCCAAAAATGACTTCCTTCACCCTCGAGATGATCTCCCAGGTGCGGACGGCCCGTTGGTTGAAGGGTTGAACTTGCCAATTGGGTGAACCTGAGAAAGTGTTGGATCTCCCAACATGCGCAGTTAAGTGATCTGGTGGAGCAAAGAGCAGGTGAAATCAAAGATGCAGTATGCAAAGCATTATGTCCACATTTTGCGGGATTTTTTTTTGTCGATTTGGTTGAACACATGCCAACCTGATATACTGTATCTAATTGTGGACAGCTTCGACACTACGCCAGTGTGGCAATCCCAATCCATTTCATCGAGCACCAGCCTTCACCGGCCAGTCGCTCTTCGTGATCCAGTTGCCGCCACACAGCTACTTGTGTCGGGATCCTCAAAGCTAGTAGCAGTGTTTTTTTTGCGCAGGAAAAGACGACCCGAGTGGGGGGCACCTTCCAACAGTTTCGGGAGGATAGTAGTTCAAAGTATATAGTATACTGAGGCAAGGAAATGAGTTTCGGATGGGGTTTTTCTTAGGTGCGGTTTTTTCACTGGCCCCACTGGTTCTTCTGCATCATTCCGATTGGGAAGACAGAGCATGACACCCTAAGCAAGCAGGATCATGGGGTGATCACTGAGTGTATGGCGGATCGGATGATGTCCAAAAATTGACCCCGTCTAAGAGTCCCAAGGAATCAAACAGCCCCTTGATGCCATTTGAACCCCCACATCTTTGATGTCCACTGGAGCATATGCATTCGTGGGGCGGCCGAGGGGGCCGCGTAGGACGCCATGACATGGCGGTGCGGGCGACCAGGTGGTCCTTTCGAGTTTGGACCAGCCCGTCAAGAATGGTCGATGGTGTCGCCCGGCCCGGCTCCGTTTGGGTCCGATGTTTCATTGCGTTCTGTTCTCAAACGGGGGGCCAGACGTGCCAGTGCCCGCCCTTCCTTTTTCATCCGTTTCATCGGGTTTCCATCCGATCACGTCCGGACCTCTTCGGTCTCAACTGCCAGCGAACCGCGAACCGCGAACCGTCCGGGGGGGGCGAAGACGCTCGATGGCCTCGCCAGGCCTCGACCGGGATAGCGATAGAGATAGTGCCTTGGATGAGCGAGTTCGGCGACCAGCGAGTTCGGCCAGGGAGTGAGTGAGAAAAGGGCGGTTGGTGAAAAGAGAATTCGGATGTTTTTGTCAAACAGCGCAGAAAGAACAGGCACAGCAACCAAAGCATGCAAAAGCAAGAGCTCCCCAGCTGTTCGGATGTTGCCCTTACCATACACCTTGAACTTGTCCTTGACCTGCCCTTGGATGGCCCACGAGGCTATTTCTTCCAGCCCAGCCCCGGTGGCGCCCACACATGTGGTTGTTTCACCCAGCATGGAGATCCGGGCTTGGTCCGGCGACCGGATTGCTGAACTTGGTGAAGAGCAGGTGCGAGATCTGGTGGACGGTTTCCGTCTGTGAGGGACCTGAAGCGACTTCGACCGCAGCTCAGGTTGGACACTCCAGGTTTCGGCAACGACTCTTCAGTGAAGAGGGCGAGTTGGAAGATGAGACGCCTGTAAGACCATTTGCAAGTTTGCAGCTGATAGTCCTGGACCTGTGTGCTGCCAATGAAACCATGGAGGAGGTATTGCTGCGAGCATCTGAGAATAACAAACTAGACGTAGTTGAGCGTTTGCTGCGAAAGCCACAGAATCCTGATGGGAGAGGTGCAAAAACCACCTATGCACCAATTCATGTTGCATCTCTGAGAGGCCACTTGGAAGTTGTGCGCTTGTTGCTAGAGGCAGGAGCTGACCAGAATTCCACGGCGGCAGGGGAGACTGCGGCCTTGTTTATTGCAGCTCAAGGAGGCCACATAGGGATTGTGCAATTGCTGGTGGAGGCTGGAGCAGGCAGGGATGCGGCAACAGCAGGTGGCGCAACAGCCTTGTCTGTTGCAGCTCAGAAAGGCCACCTGAGAAATGTGCAGTTTTTGATAGAGTCTGGAGCTGAGAAGACTGCAGCAACAGCAGATGGGGGTGCGGCTTTGTATATTGCAGCACAGAATGGTCACTTGGAAATTGTGCAGTTGTTTGCTTGAGGCTGGAGCTCACAAGAATGCAAAAAAAGAAGACGGCACAACAGCTCTTTTCATTGCATCTCAGAAAGGTCACTTGGAAGTTGTGCAGTGTTTGCTCGAGGCTGGAGCTGATTTGTATGCAGCAAAGAGAACTGGTGCGACGGCCTTGTGTGCAGCAGACAGCTGTTGCTAGAGAATGGAGCTGACAATGAGAGTGCGGCGACACTAGATGGGTCAACAGCGCTTTATTTTGCAGCATTGGAAGGCCACTCTGCCATTGTGCGGTTGTTTTTGGAGGCTGGAGCTGACAAGAATGCCCTTGCAGTAGATCAGACAATGCCCTTGTTTGCGGCAGCTTCGGGAGGCCACTTTGAAGTTGTGCAGTTGTTGCTAGAGGCTGGAGCTGACAAGAATGCCGCATCCGCGCGTGGGATCACAGCCTTGGGCATCGCAACCCAGCAAGGACATGTGGAAATTGCACGGTTGTTGCGATGAGCTGATGTCAAGCATGTGGCAAAGGCAAACTGGGACAAGAAGGCAGTGTACATATAGCCATATACTGCCATATATATATATAGCCCATATAGCTGATCAACATAATATGTGAGAAAGAGACATGATTCCTTTGTGCTTGAGTCTGGGGAGCTGATCAGCATGCGACAAAGGGGTGTTCGTTCATGTTTCGTGGCCTTGGTCCAAGCTTTGTCGCAACCTGAGTGGTGGAAGCTGGTCCGTTGGTTGCTTTCGCTGGTTCTTCCGTGGAAATCCCGGAGAGATGAAGCCTCGAGAAATCAGCTGGGAATCAGCTGGCGGGGTATGGCGGGGTTCAAATGTTTCATCCGAATCTTCAGATCATCAGCTGGGTGTTTCTTTCGGCAGAGAGGCTTCAGACGACGAACAGTCTGGAGCGACCAAGCGAAGCTCAACAAACACGATCTTCATGGACCAGCATTGTGTCCACTTCATGCATCCGGGCTAAATTTCAGATGTATCCACTTGAAACCTAACATGATCCAAGACCCCAGACCCCTCGTCCTCTTGAGTTTGAACCAATACCAATGGGCCCATGTCCATCACGTCGCTTCGCTACCCGCGCACCCGTTGCTTCGCTTCTCGTCGCCCAGTTGATGATGATGATGATCGCGATAGCCTGAAGCCTCAGACTCTGAAGAGTCAGCAAACCGAAGCAACGTTGCCTGCCTTACACGGTGGCCAAAACAAAGAATAGAATGCCATGTTTTTTCTTTTGCGGCACAAGTCAAAGATAGTCAAAGGAACTGGATCCCCTCCACTGTTTGGAGGAAGTGGATCCCCTCCACTTTTTCTCGGGCTGAGACGCTGAGCCGAGCCGCAGTTCCTCGGCCCCCCCCGAGGCGATAGGGATTGAATCAGCGCCGGAGGCCGTGAGCTGCACGCCCTCGGGCACGCGAGTCGCGGTTTCAGAGCATGGTTTCGAGCGACGGAGCTCACAGCATCGAAAGGGGGCAAGAGAAATGGGAAGAGGATGGACCAATGGAAGCTCTAAAGATACTCAAACATGGTCATGGAACCCCCAAAACCACTGGGTTGGTCGTCGAAAAAGGGTCTTCCACTGGTCAATTCTCAGGTTCCATGTGGTCTGTTTCCGGGAGGGTAAATGCATTTCATTTGGTCAGGGAACTCATCCGTTCATGAGAGGAGCTGCGAATCGTTTTGAAACGGCCAGCAAGCCATGCAGAGCAAGACCGTTTCCAAATCTATTCAGGTCTAGAGTCTAGGTTCATTTGGAGCGGATATAGAAGAACCAACAAAAACAGAAGGGCGATCCCCCAAAAAATCTGTTTGGAACCCACCGATCAGTTCTATGGAATCCAGTGTGTTCTTCAACTACTTGCCTCGTAGCATAGGTCAACTTCACTCCATGCCAAATCTCACAAACCATCACAAGCCCCTTAGAGGCCGAATCCACACTCCACTGCAGGTGCTGAAGACTCCTAGCAGGAGACCACGAGGAGAAGAGGGAAAGACTGGCAAGAGGGGCCAAAAGGAGTTTCTCTTCCACATGAACTGCTTTAGACCATGACATTGACTAACCCTGACCCCCGGCGTAGGAACTTCGGGGAAGGAACTGGTTGCAAGTATATACACTTACAACGTAAGGTGAAGTTGGCACCTGCGCAGGTGCTTTTGGATTTCTAGATTTCTAGTCCCCAGCAGACCTGCTAGCATACCTGCTGATCCTTAGTTTGCGATTCCTGATCGATCGTGAAAATCAAATGCTGTCAAGCAGGTGATCCTTTCACCACGGAGATGTTCTTCTCGCTTTGCTCCACAGGGAGCGCAACACGTAATTAACCATGCTTCATGTTTGCTTGATGGAAAGAAACGTGCTTGAAAAAAGCCCCCAGAACATTCAAGGCTAGGAGGATATCAGAAGCTATGTACATGAATGTGTATTTTGATAGGGAGACCCCCAAACAATGGATTTTAGTGTATGTCCCTTCTTCCAGGGGGTCTTTGGTAGGTCTCCCTATTCTGACACACGACCAACCACAATTGCAGCCCCCAAAATCATGCTGCTTTACACCCAGAACCTACCGAGCTGTTTGTGAGATCAGCTATGAGGCTATGAGCCTAAGTCCAAGACGATCACCGGAGTGTAGGACATGAAAAGCGCTGCCAAAAGTAAAAACTGTGTACCCTCTGACTCACTAACATGGAAGTGGAAAATGGTCACTTGGAAGACTACTTTCCTCTACCAACAGCGGGTTTTCCACTTCCATGTTAGTGAGTCAGAGTGTACAACAATGTATAACAAACATGAAAGACTTCCATTGGCCTTTCAAGTGTTGAGAGTCCACTTCCATGTGAGTGGCTTGGAGCATGTCATCGTGCATGGGATGTTGCTACCAACCCCCCCATATATATATATATATATATAGGTGGCCCGCATACTTCAATGTCAGTGATGTATGTGTCCTATTTGAACTTCATCACGCTCCCGACCTCACTCAATCCCGCCGTTCCAGGCCATGGCAGCCCCAAAGGACAGGAGCTGGTCGAGCTGCTCGCGAGGAGCGGGAGTGCTCGGGTTTGCTGCTCAGTGTGTGCTGTGCAGGGTCCGACAGGGTGTGCTCGCTTTGCCCAGAAAGCAGCGGCCCGGAGAAGCATGTGAAACCAAGTTGATGGTTTGGGTCGCCCCCTCTCCCAAGATTCCTGGGTTTACAGAGGTTTTTGCAAAGATTGGTTGGTTTCATGCATCATTGATGTGGTTTTGTCTGCAGGTGTTGAGCAGTGAGTCATGAATTGATATGAATTGATATGAATTGTTCCTTGTTGGTGCCTTCACTGAATTGGGTGAAGAGGAAGGTCTTAAAATGTCTTAATCATTCCAAGATATTCCAAGTCTATTTTACAAGCAAGCTGAACGGGTTCGTTCGGACGTATGTCTTATCTACGCTGTTTCTGTCGCACCCCGACACATTCGGACGCGAGGCTTTGGCGCACTTGGCTGCAGATTATAAGGTTTGGCTGGATTCCATTGCTACAATTATATACAGTATATATATAGATTGATTTAAGGATGCCGCCTGATTGATACACAGGGTTTGGAATCCTGATTTGGGATCTAGCCCTAGTAGGTCCCTTCTTCTCTTTGAGCAGCTCGGGGAGATACTCGATTCCGGTTGAAAGGAGAAAGGATCCTTCATGATCTCCCATCTCATCGACTCCGTACGATGTGGATCGATGACATGGAGCAGCGATTCAGCCATGGGTTGGTCCCCAGGAGCCAGAGAAGTGGGTACAATGAGCTCTATGAGGTGCGGAGACCGGCGGAGACCTCTGTCTCTTGCTTGGAATCTTTTGGAGCATAGGCACTTGGTGCTCGGATTGATCTACTGAAGCCCTTGGCTTTTCATTTGGGGATTGGCAGGATCCTTGAACTTTGATGACAATAAAGGTGCAATGAACAGCTTGAAGCTATCAAGCTTGAAAGAATCTGAAGACCTTGTTTTTGTCGACTGTGATCCCTCAAAGGAACATAAGCTCATTGCGTGCTACTTCTTTGTTTGTTCTTCAAACGTTTTGGCTTGTTTTATCTTGTTTTGTTTAGATAGGCCGCCAGTTGGGAGAGGTGGCGGCCAGCGGCCAGTCTCCCAGTCTCCGTACGAGGCATTTGCAGATGGCACTGGCTCGTCTTCAGGCTTTATTGGAGGTGCGGGAAACCAGAACTGGAACCTAACAAACCACTCTGATGGTGTTTGTGGGATGTTGACGTCGACGGAGGTGTATGTAGAAAAGTTCAATCGGAGTTGTCTCTTCGTGTAGTTTCATCGCTGGTTAGAGTTGCAGGCTTGAGTTGATGGAACAGAAGACAGCTCAAACGCCCCAACAGATCGTGAACATCTGTAGAATGTTCAACATAGCCATTGCCGTCCAAAACAACACATCTCAAGACCCTGTCATTCTCGCCACGTTGTCCGTACCTTTCGTCCGGCGCATGGCCGTCGATCCAGACGTGAACGAGTTGGGCGGCCACAAACCCAGCGATCCTTTTTTAGAGCTGGCAGGGGCATGCTGTCATGTCATAGCATTCGTGACTTTACTATATACTTTACCAAGATTTACTATGATGTTATAAAGTATATGTATATATATATATGTCTAATTTTGCGTTCTTATAATGTAGTGTTGCTAAGTTGTTGGACCAAGCAACGGGGGAATTGAGTACTGGGCACGTGGGTCCAAAATGGCTAAGCTTGCACACCAAGACCCACTTGACCTTTGTCTTGACAGGGAAGGGCCAAATTTTGGGTGTTGCTCGGTGTTGGTGTTGGTGGTTCAAAATAGAGTTATAAAAAACTTTCATAGGAAAGAGCCTGTTGTCTAAATTTAAAAAGAGTAAATCCCAAAAGTCAAAGTCAAAAAAAAAGTCAAATCAGCAAATTTCAGAAAGATCACCCCTCCTAACTAAATGGTTAATGGGGGGGTGTACGTGGTGGCTAGCCATTTTCCATTAGCCATTTGTTTTTAAAGATTCATAATTAAATATTTATATATTTATATATATGTGTATTTATTTTGTTTTTGCATACAGATATATACAGATCAACTGACAAGTATCACCGGTGAAGTCGTAATGAATTTAATGACCACTCATTGCTAGTGGTTGGATGTGTTGATAGATGTTGACTTATGTTGATATAAACTTATCACACATGACCTTTGAACACGCATGTATGTTCATGTATTTTCTAACATGGTTCAATATTGTTCAGCCTGGTCCGCGCACCACAGCCATTTGCTTTGCTTCCAGCAACGTCCACTCCATAGTCTTTTGTCATCGGTGAAGCCGGTCACTGCCTCAGCAGATCTTCATGAAGAGTTTGAAGGTGAAGGTGTTTGAAGGGTTAGTGAAGATGAGGCTGGCAGGTCCAGGTAGGTGTTGGCCATTGAAGCTAGAGTTTGCAGTACCTTGCAGTGCACTAAATGAGCTGAATTGCAGCATTTTTGTGGTCTCAAGTGATGCTGAGATTTGCTGAGATGCACGTCAGCTTACCTCAACACACATATAGGATACCATATGTATCAATGAATGTCAGCAAACTCCTCCCTACATTATATCATATTATATCAAAATATATCAAAACTCAATATATGTGATATTATGAGATGTGACATATATATTTATATATATATTTACAAAATACTCTATAGTATTATATAGAGCAGCACATGTCAACATATGTCACCAGGAATCAACATTGCTTACAGGAATCTACAGATGTTGAACTTTCATATACTTTCATATACCTTCACATATCTTCACATACCTTCATTAGTGTGGGCAATTCTGGGCACACTTGTGAGTTTTTCATCGGTGATCATCGGACATCATCGGCGCTTTTTTCATCGGTGAAAGTTCATCGGTGAACACTCTTCATACATGAAATTTGCTGAATGGTACGTACCCCCCCCGTCTCAAATGGCTAGCCATTTTAGACCCCCCCCCTTAGGGGGCAGTGATTCAGAAAGTCAAAAAGTCAATTTGCCCAGATCCGACCTTTTTTGACATGTTTTCGACTTTCTATATTTTCGATTTTTTTGACTTCTTTTGACTTTTTCGAGCTGTGGTCTACGGTTGACTATTTTTTGACTTTTCTTGACCCCAGTAATCCGCCAAGGCGAGGAGCCACAGTTTTGATTTGTTTTTACGTTATTTCGACCTTTTTTTTAAAACTCTTTTTCGACTTTTTTGACTTTTCAGTTTGATTTTTTTGACTTTGACTTTTCCGGTTGACTTTTTTTTGGACTTTTTTGGCATTTTTTTAAATCACGGATTCTGGCCTTGAAAGTTTTTATAAAAATAGAGGTCATTCAGTTTGTAAGGTTTGTATGTATAGCCGAGACGCGATGTTCGGGTCCGAGCGGTTGAAGAACTTCTTCAAAGTGGCGTGGTCAGACCCCACGGAACCGGTCCAACCCAAAACGCATGGTGTGTGGTCCGATGAAGGGACACCGGTGTGATTGAACAGTTTGGGATTGATTTGTGCAGACGATGTAGGTTCAAGATGTACACTCCCTGGAATTAACATGCTTGCATGGATGGCAGGGACGATGTTCATGTCCGGAAGACCTAACTGCGGTGGTGATCTCCACGTAACCATGATGATTCCAGGGAGTGTAAGTTCAAGATAGAGATCCTGTATTTCAGATATTTGCGTCACTACCTAACTGCAACCATGTGGACCATCCACCGAGCAGTACAAGGGGGCTAAGTTGACGCGCTGATAAGTAGAAGTCCACAAGGGGCAATCAGAGACATTAAGCAGCTGGACCTCATGTCATGTCTCACAGAGTTGGTTTTTGGATGTTTCTGGCCACACTGGGATTGTTCAGCTGCAACGGGTTTGGCGTCTAGATGCGTCTAGACATGTCCAGACACTAGGAAATAGGTGAAAGACTTTCGCAGCGCCCCAGGATGTGTTGCAGGGGATGTTCATGGATGTTCCTCCATCAGCAGGTGTAGGTGTGTAGCTCATGGCATTCCAAGTAGAGAGACCGACCGCCCTTTCCGACCGACGTCCCGGGACCAATAGAATCTACCCAGCCAGGGTGTCGCACAGGCCATGCCAAAGGACCTTCGGCGTAAAGAGATCGAAGGCCCCCCCGGCAAGCGGCAGGGGCTTTCTTTGAGAGTTCGAACAGAAGAGCTCCAGCCTCCAAGTACTTGTATAGTCATAGCTTGCATCTGATAAGCAACAACCAATGTGCATACTCACTCTGTGGCTACGCAACGCCACGGCGGTTTCAACGATTGTCTCCAGGTTGTCAGGGTTGCCGACCGAGGACGATGGATATCGTCCCTTTGAAGCGCAGCCGCAGAATCTGAGATGGTCCCTCTCATCGGGGCTTTCAGGGCTAGAGGAATCACCAAATGGAATCAAGAATGCTTGACATACACAACTCGGTTCTCCATCGCAGATGGCGGAATGAATGAGACTAGTCTAGAGTCTAGCGTCAAGCCCAATAGTTCGTTGCTGGTCCTAGCAAAATGGAAAGAAAAGGCAACTTAGACTGAACACGACTCAACGGCAATTTTGGCCGAAGCACAATTGTCGTATCTTGGGAGTCATAAGGCATCCAGTCAGCTTGGATTCAGAGGGGTCTCCATGTTGGGAGTAGGTCTGGAATCCATGGGAACGTGTTTCTATCACGGTGAGGACGGAGTGTGGAGATCACTGCGTTTGGTGCTCAGGTGAACCGATGTGAAGCTACCAATTGTTTGTCCTTTTCCATGCGAGTCATGGGTCAAACAGTCAAACATGGTCAAACCAAATCTCCCAACCTCGTGCTGGCAGGAGCTGGGTATTTTTGCCCCTCGGGCCTTTCAACGCGGGACATCTCTTGCTTTTCGAGGTCCAAACAGATCAAATCACCAGCAGAACCTGGCAGCGAATTTGCCTGCATGTTCCAGCCACCAAAGAAGTGGATGTTGTTGTCATTTCTTCGAACAAATCCAGCCCCATAGTGGATGGGGAATTTGGTACTATTCTTCAGCTGGCCGCCGTCGGAGCCTCTGGTCTCGGTCAAACCCCGTCGGTGCCGAGCAGGTCTTTCGAAGGAGCTCCGCGCCGAGCTCGCAGCCTTCATGGAGGTCCGGCGGAATCGGCGGTCGCGCGAGTCGCGGAATCGGCGTGTTGTGGATTTGGGATCTTTGAGGGTTTATGCTGGAATAAGTTGTGTGACTTAATCCTAGGATTGAAATCATCATCGTCAGGAGGTGGTTGCCATGAAGAGATAGGGAAGACAACAAGCATCGGCGTGAGCTTTGTAATTTATAATCGTGAGTTGTTCAGCAGAGGAACAGAAAAGGAGGTGCTGGCTTGTCGTTCTTTCTACTGGTCAGGCCGAACACCCAGATGTCTCAGATCTGGGATGTGTGTCAGAGTGCCAATCACAGGCAAAGAGGGACGCATTTGAACTCCACTCCCTCCAATCATGGTTTGGTGGAGTTCACCCCCTGTTTGGAAACCTCTTCTGTTTGGATTCCATTGAGGGTCAATCCATGTGGATCCCCAGATTTTCGAGCCTCCGTGAGCTCCATATAGCTCCATGCAAGGCACGTGAACAGCGCAGTCTCTGCAGTCCGGAGACTCAGCGCAGCCTTTGCGCCAGTTGCGTTGGACTTGTAGAGTTCTTGGATGGCTGCTGTATATCCCAGGCACGACTAATGGGACTGCCATAGGACTGCCGATCAGTTGGGGTGGTTTTGGGGGTGATTTGATCGGCATATATGGCATACATGGAGTGTCTGGGTATAGAAACCAAACCTCCCAGCTACGAGAAGCAGCATGAGACTCCATTGGAGAAGCAGCTTCTGAAACGATCATTGGCCGTGCTGTCCTGCTCAAAAAGGATGATTCAATCAAAATGCACTTCCACGATTCTACCCTTCCCTAGCTGAAGCCGAACCGACCGCTCTTTCACAACACACCACACCGATCGCCTCCGTCTTCCCAAACGCCCACCGCCAGGCACGTTCCGTCCTCCCAAGGCGCGTTCCGTCGCGTCTCGGGGTGCGGAGGTGTGGCAGTCGTCTGTCGGTCTGGGCGACACGGCGCGCGAAATCCGCCCAGACTCTGGCGGCCCAAGACAGTCTTGGTTCCAAGTTTGGAGTTCAAGCAGCATGAACAGGAAGAGTCTGACCATGAGCATGTTCATCTGCCATGGTTTGGCATTTGTTTTGACTCACTGCCCTAGGTGAAAGGAAGTTGATGTTCGTTTGTTGTCAGCCTCTCCCGATGTTTGTAAAAAGCATGGAATCTTCCTGACGCAGTAGCAACAAGACCTCAAATGATGCCCGATTAGGTGCAATGGAAGATGTACGTGTATATATAGCATTATATAGCCATGGAGGAATCCTCTACGAAATGAAGGGGGGTCGTCGTTTTTTTAAACGTTTCATGCCTCCCTCTGCTTGGGGGGGTTGGGGTATGATTTATAGAGCATTGGGTGTTGTCGTTTCTGTGATTCTTTCATGCTCCTTCAAAGGGCCAAAACAATGGATTTGAGCCTCACTGATGAGTGGATTTGACCACTTGGGGGAGGTGACATTATGTAATGCTTGTTTCCTTAGTCTCCTTCAAATCAAGGCCCTCCACCCCTGTTCTTTACCCTCAGGCACCTAAACCTCCACCGTGATGGTTGTTGGATGAGGAATGATCACATGTATTGTTGCATATTACATAGTATTGATTCAATACACTTCTGAAATAGTAGTGGAAGTGGATGACATGCCCATGTATGCCCCCTTTTTTACAGATTGCCATGAGTCATCCGAACGTCACCCAGGTGGTGAACTCCACTTCACCAACAAAGGTTGAAGGACCCTGTAGACTGTCCAATAGGTACCCCAGTAATCCCCAGTAGGGTCCGATTTACGGTCACATAAGGTCACTGAACCTCTCTTGGTATTTCAGGGAGTCTTTGACTGTTCCCCTTGCCACTCGGCAAAATCGCCTCTGCCGCCTGTTCCAGGTGCGCCTTTCTCACGCCACAGGTGGGACCGGCGACCAAAAGGGTCCAACTGGTCACCTGGCAGCTCGGGGGGTAGGAGCGATCGGACGCGTTCGTAGACGGGGCTCCTGGCCGTACTACTAGGAGCAAGTAGCTACTAGCAACAAGAATTAGAATTAAATTTGAAGTTGTTTCATGTGGTCATGTCCAGACCAGCCTAGAGTCAAAACGTTGGATGGGGGGCTTTGAATTGCTCCATCGGTTCTTGGACCCTCGTGGTGCTTGGACCTTCTATGAGGGACGTGTTTTTGACCATTTGCGGCTTTGGACCGTCTCAATGGGAGTCAGGTGAGTAACAAACACCCGCACACACAGATCGACACGATTGGATGACCAGTATTAGCAAAGAGAGTACACCGGGCTACAGCTGGAGTTGTTTTCCAATGCGTACGGGGTCGGTCTGTTGTTGCAGAAAAGTCTGTTGTATGCTGTTAAGTTGCTTGAGTTTAGTGTTTTTGCTCGCAAGAAGTGTTTTGCACCAATGTTATTTGGAAAAAATGAAAGAAGTGTTTTGGTGTTTCCGTGGCCAAGTCTTAAAACACTTGCACAACCAATATTTTGTCTTTTGACATGTGAGGTGAATCTCCCGGTTTGCCGCTCGGCTCAAAAAGCTGGGTTTCATGGGGTCGTGTAACCGGTGTCGCCAGTCTGCTCCGGCAGACGGTGACACTTGGTGCCTCGCGTGCTCAGGGCACGAGGCCCTCGGCCGGGAGCTGGCCAACAGCTGGCCACCAGGGTCGCGGAAGCTGGTGGAAGATCTTGTGATCTCCTGCGTCCGCCAAGTGAGGGCTTTGAGGAACTTCGGACAGGCCGTCCGCTCCAACGCCCTCGCTTCCCAGGCTTCCGGCCGCAAGCGTGAAGAAGGAGACGCTGCACGAGCTGGCGAACGGCCTGAGCTCAAGCGTCGCAAGCTCGACAGTGTGGACTCCAAGAACCTAGGTGCAGTGGCCAAACGCCTTCCTGATCAGCCGAAGGAGGAAGACTCCGAGACTGGTGAATTTGAAGAGGAAAGCGAAGAAGAGGTACCGGAACGCACTGTGGCACCGTTGGCTGGGAGAGACAGACGCCGTCCACCCGAGCCTGACGGCCCGCCACCTCACGTTCGCCAACAGGGAGAAGGACGTGGAGATCGACGAGCAAAGGCAGAGAAGCATCATCGGCCAGGAGGCCATACAAGCAGTCAGAGGACTCACAAACCTCGACATCGAGCTGGACGCAAACATCAGCGTTTGGGACGGCTTGAACAAGACCCTACCATTCCAGTTCATCAGAAGCTTTCGAATCACTACCTGGACACCTTATCAGTTGACAAGGGCCAGGACAGCTTGAGCCGCCTGCCATGACTGGCAGACCTCACCAAGAAGGAGAAGAATTCAATTTGAAAGATTTGGAACAATGGTGTTTGATCTCACCGCTCAAAGGAGACATACTATTCATCGACCTGGCTTCAACAGACTATGCGCCTCGCACCGAGGTATGGACACCCTTCCTGGCTATGTCCGTCGAACTACTCAGGCAATTGGGGACCCTGTCCATCGAGGCAAAGTTCCTTGGCACCGACAATCCAGAGGTCAACAAGGAACTGTCGAGTCGCTTCAACAGGAGGACAGGCCGCTTGCATCTTTGCGGGTCCATACCGTGCCTCGAACAAGAGGCTGGTTGCCTGCATGTGACGAGGTTCATTTGGCACACGTTGGCCGGGGCGGAAGGCTGGCTCTCAGGCCGGGCCATTCGAACGGCTCGCAAGTGGTTGGATGGCCCTACACTGGGAGACGAACTCATCGAGGACGAGGAGCCCATGGAGACAGGAGAAGGAGAGAAGGGCAGGGAGACCATCCCGGACCCCGATCCTGCCAAGGTCCCAGGGAGGCCTGGCGTTCTTCGTCGCCCCAGGGCCGCTTCGAAAGACACTGCGACTCAGGCAGAGGCGTTCTCCAAGAAGGCCCCAAAGCCAAAGCCGGCAAAGCCAAAGGCTCCTCAGGTTGCGTCAACGTCAACCGGCAAGGGCGTTGGCAGTGGAGGTGGAGCCAAGAGTGCGCTCGATCCTGCAAAGGTGGAGAAGTTGCGAGAAGAGTTGAAGCGGTCCAAACAAAAGATAGCCGCTGGCGGCCCCCCAGATCCCAGTCCTGGAGGAGAGGATTCGGGAGAGGAGGAGGGCTCCGAGTCGGCCTCGAGCGGTTCCACAGGCTCAGGGGCTACAGACTCTGCAGTGGCTCCGGAAGCTCTGACAGCGGGGACACTGATGAAGAGCAAGACAACGCCTACCACAACCAGAGCTATAAAAGATGTTACTACAGGAGACTTTCACACACAGCTGATCCAGAGAGCGGCCGGCACCGCCGAGATCAGCCGCAAGGACGCCGTGCAGCAGGCCAAGAAGAAGCGATCGAGGAGCCCTTCAAAGAAACGATCCAAGGAGTCTCGTCGTCGCAAAGACGATGGGAAGGGCAAGAAGGATGGCAAGAAGAAAAAGAGGAAAAAGAAAAAGAAGAAGAAGGAGAAGAAGCACAAGGATCGCAAGACGAAGACCCTTTCCGATGGGAGGACGGTGAACTGCTCGTCCGACTCCAACAGCGACTCGGAGGAGGAACCATCAACCGACGAGGACGCGGAGCTGGAAGCGCCGTTGAGGAAGCGCTCACAGAAGCGTCCCGGGTCGGTACTCAACCTCCTGCTAGAGCACATAGCCGACCAACTACAACAGTCAGCCGAGCTCGACGTCCCCGCTTCAGGAAGAGGAGATCTGACCTCAGGTGTAAAGGTAGTGTCATACCTCGCCCTCGCCATCCGACCTCACTTCGCCCACAAACAGAAGGAGCTGAGGGAGATGCACAACCTGGCCACGAGCATCGACTTGCTGCGCCAAGGCCAGCTGGCCCGACTCGGGGACGTGCTGGCCGGAAGGTTGGTGGCAATCCATCAATCTCTGCTGGATGCATCCTGGACATCGGCCAGGCATTTGGAAGTGATGCCCATGCCGGAAGGGACGGCTCTCAGCGATGGAGTCCTCTTGGCGGCGAGGAAGCACGGGAGGCAGGTGAGCCGGGCTCAGGACATTACCCAGAGCTGGCGATCCGACAAAGGAAGAGGAAGAGGCAAGAAAGGACTGCAATGGTCCCACTACGAGGGAGATCAAGAATCGACGTGGTGGCAACCAAAAGGAAAAGGGAAATCACAGAAGAAAGGCAAAGCAAAGAAGGACAAGGACAAGGAAGCCGCGGAGAAGCCAGGAGAGAAGTAGAGATGTCTCAGGACTATGACGGGCTGGCAATGGCCGAGCCTGACCAGGGGGGAGAAGCACCATTGTTGCATGCAGGCCTTGAGGTGTTCAGCCAGGTGCTACAGCAGACAGCGACTCTAGGTGAACTGGGTTGCGCGCTTGGTTGGCTGCTTGCGAGGATTTCAACATGTACAGACTTTGAGTTCGATAAGATGGTCATCAGAACAGTGTATGAACGCTGCTGCAGGCCACAGATCGCTTCATCTCGAGGGGCGATCTTTCCATTGCCCTTGGGCGCGCTTGACGCCTGTGAGGACGCTTTGAGAACAGCCTCATTGGCAGATGTTGTGACACCACACTTCGTGGAACGCTGGCAAGCAGATGCCTGGCAGTTTTGCGTTGGGGTGGGACTCAACGCCATTGGTGGTAAACTCCAGCCGCAGGCGAGGGGCTCGACGAACAAGTTGCAAGCCCGTGCCGCGGCCGCCTCACGTGCGGCTGTGGAGCGATTCCTTGGTTTAGGAGGTCGCTCTTCACGAAGCCCAGACGAGATCCGAGGTGAGTTAAAAGGCATTCGCATTTCGTACACGGGGGAAGAAATGGGGACATGTCACAAGTTGACGCTGGACCAGGTGGTTCCGGCTCTTCCCCCTGGTTCCCATGGTGCATCAGTTGATGTCATGACATTGTTATCTCCCGGGACACAACGGCTGTTGCTCCATCCAGAAAACCTCATCACCAAGGATGTTGGTCAAGAACTCCCCTCGCTTCAGGCTAGAGTGCATTGTTCCCCTGGTGAGCTTCTTCCTCTTTGTTCGGAGTTGGTAAAACGACAGATTTGTACCTGGATCCCGCTTGAAGCTGTTTATAAATATCGCGATCAACCTGTTCTGTCGGGACTTTTCGGAGTTGAGAAACCCACCAAGTTGGACGACGGGCGAAGCGTCCTGCGCCTGATCATGAACTTGGTACCAATCAATTCGGTCATGGAACCAATTGCCGGGTGTGTTCGTCATCTTCCATCGATAACCTCGTGGTTAGGGATTTCGACAGAGGCGGACGATCGGTTGCGACTCTTTCAAAGTGATCTTTCTGCTGCATTCTACTTATTCCGGCTTCCTCAACAATGGACAAGGTTTTTGGCCTTTAATGTCAAGGTACCCGGAACTGAGTTGGGATTGGAGGACCCTAGCATGCATGTACTTGCCTGTAGGGTTATCCCTATGGGGTGGATAAGTTCGGTGGCCTTGATGCAGGAAGTAGCCGAGCAGGTAGCATACCTGGGTGGAGCTGAGGAAGAGTCGCAGGTCACACGTGGTTCTTCACTCCCTTTGTTCCTCACCGGCTGCCTCCATGAAAGTCACGCCCGTGACAGACCATGGTGGCACGTGTACTTGGACAATTTCTGCTCGGGTCAACGGGTTCAAGGTGATGCAGACTTTCAAAAGGGTCAAGACCTTCACAATCTTGTCGAGGACGTGTGGGCTCGCACTGGGCTGGTGTCCTCGGCCAAGAAGAGAGTGTCGGGAGCTTCGACTGCACAGGAGTTAGGGGCATGGATAGATGGTGATCGTCACACGATTTCTGCATCGGGGGAGCGTTTCATCAGGTTGGTTCATGCTACCCTGTACCTGTTGAGTTGCCGGTTCTTGAACAAGAAAGCCGTGCAAATCGTCATAGGACGATGGGTTCATGTGCTCCAATTCAGGCGACCGCTCATGGGGCTTCTTACTCAGGTTTGGAAATTCATATCCACCCCACAT